GGATGTTCGCTGATGATTGCACAATGTTCATCACCACTCACAGTTCCACAATCTGAAGTAGTCCATGTTTCAATGCAATAACACCTGGACAATACCCGGGCCTACACTGACAAGTGCCAAGTAACATTCACACCGCACAAAGGCCAGACAATGATCACTTCCAATGAGAGACAACCTAACGACTACCTTATTGACATTCAAATGTGTTACCATCACTGGATACCCAGTATCAACATCTTGGTGGTTAACATTGACCAGAAACTCAACTGGACTCGCCATATAAACACAAGGGTTACAAGACCAGATCAGAGGCTAGGAATACTGTAGCAAGTAACTCACCTCCTGACTCCTCATAGCCTGCTTAATTGGCACCATATCCACATGCATCCAGTCCCTCCGCTACCAATGCTCCATAGCAGCAGTGTTTACTATCTACATGATGCACTGCAAAAATTGTCCTTAGACAGAGGTCCTTAGACAGCACTTTCCAAACCCACAACCACTTCCACCTGGAAGGACAAGAACAGCAGATACACAGGAAAACCACCAGCTTCAAGTTTCTCTCCAAGTCATTCACCATCCTAACTTAGAAATATATGAATACAATTCCTTCCCTGTCACTGGGTCAAAATCTTAGAATTTCCTCCCTAAGGGCATTGCGAGTCTGCAGTGTTCAAGAAGACAGCTCATTACTACATTCTCAAGACTAATTAGGATGGGCAATAAATGCTAACTAATAAGCTACATCTACGTCCTACGACTGAATTAAAGAGGAAATGTTGTCATGGTCAGACCTAATCTGTATCCTTGGAGTATTAGCCTGGTCTCCAGATTACTCATCCAGTCACATTCCTCTCCACTCTCCCTGTATGTTCCCATTTGAAAAAAGACAGGAGCTAATGTAAACAGAAAATCTAAGGTCCAAAGACATGTACAAGTTTGTCAGGGCAGTATGGAAAGAAATCTCCAGTTATTTCTTGTGCCTCTGTGTTTTTCCTTTCCCATCATCCCTCAGTCCACTCCCAACCTCAAATTTTGTATCTGACTTAATTACACAGAAAAGTCATGGATTACCCCCAATTCTCCTCATCGATTGGCTGCCTGTCAGTACTCATAATGCAACACACTTGTTCTCGTGATGCCTGATTGTGAAAATTCTTTGCATCTTACTGCATAGATTGTATTCAACAGACAGCCCATAATTGCCAAATGATCAAATCACCAAAATGCAATTCCAAGTTTCAGCTTGAATTATTAAAAGAAAAGAGTTAGAACTTCGGTTTAACTGAAAAACATCTATCATCAGAAAAAAAGTTTAATAGCCTGGAAAATTAACAGAAAACTTTCTTAAGCACCCAGTTTATTGTACTGAGACAGTCATTATGGGCAAAATTAGACTGGAGATTTGTATATGGTAAGGTTTAGAGTTAAGGTTAGGATGAAGAAAAGGAATTGAGGTCTTGTGTTTATATTGCTTCATTCACAGGATGTCTCAAAGCACTTAACAGTAACACTGTATCCAATTTGCACACCACAGGGCTTCACTAAAAGCAATGAAATAATGACCAGATAATCACTTTTAGTGATGTTGGTTGAGGGATAAATAATTGACTAGACTCCCCTCGATTCGTTTGAACGTTACATTGGAATCTTTTGAATTCACATGGAGAACAAGTTTGGTTTAGCATCTCAATATGGAATGCCACACCACTTCCTCAGTACCCTACTAAAGTTCTGAGGAAAGGTCACCAGACCCAAAACGTTAACTCTGATTTTTTCTTCACAGGTGCTACCAGCTTTTCCAGCAACTTCTGTTTTTATACCCTACTAAAGTGTTGGCCTAGAATTTCTTCTGTAGTGGGTGTTGGACCCACAGCCTACAGGCTCAGATGTGGATCGTACTAACTTCTAAAAAAAATAAAAGAAACTGTCTTAACTATGTGTGCACTCCTGCATGAACGAGAAGTAGTCGTAACAATATACTTCAGCTCAATGCACCTGAAGAACAAGAAATGTGAGATAAAATATTGAATTTTTTTTTGTTTACAACTGCAGCAAAGGATCCTGCCCCTCATTGCATGAAGTAAGCCCATGGGAAACTCATGGCTGAAAGGTCTGTTGATATTTCTATCTAGTCTCGTGGTCGTTTGTATGAGGTACTGGATAGCAGCAGAACATACACAGAAGTGAATACATTAACCACTTTAGGAGAGACAAAGGGAGACTCAGAGGCTGAGGGGTGACCTTATAGAGGTTTATAAAATCATAAGGGGCATGGATAGGGTGAACAGCCAAGGATTTTTTTCCTGTGGTGGGAGAGTCCAAAACTAGAGGGCATACATTTAAGGAGAGGGGGGAAAAAATTTAAAAAGGACCTGAGGGACAACTTTTTCACGTGTATGAGATGAGCTGCCAGAGGAAGTGGTAGAGGTGGGTACAATTACAACCTTTAAAAGGCATCTGGGTGGGTATACAAATAGGAAAGGTTTAGAGGAATATAGGCCAAATGTTGGGAAATGGGACAAGGTCAGATTATGATGTCTGATCGGCAAGGACGTGTTGGACCTAAGAGGCTGTTTCTGTGTTGTATGACTCCATGACTCCAAGTCAGGAGACACATGAAGATTTTATTTATTTTTCTTTTGTGTTGAGAAATTTTATTATTTTGAATTTGATATTCTGTATACATGCCACTGTTAGCTTAATTTTAGTGTTTATTTGATGTTGAAGATTTGTACTACTATAGCCATCCATAATTGAGGTGACATTATAAACTAAATGAGTCAAGTCAGCTGTTGTTTTTTATTCATTCTAACCCCCTTAGAAAACTTTCTGATGTACACTGACAGGCTTGGTTTTGGCTCCTTCATTAGCAGAAGATTCACATTAAGCAGCTTCCCTTAAAGTACCCATTAGAATAGATTTTCTCAAATGGCTCTGGAAAATATCATTTGATAGTCAAGGATGGCGATTTATTGAGTGATCTTATTGAACATCGCAGATCCTATGGGGAATTGACATAGTGAATGCTGAAAGGATATTTCCCCTTGTGGGAAAGACTAGAACTATAAAACACTGCTTATAAATTAAGGGTCTCCCACTCAGGACAGGGTTGAGGAGATTTAATTTTCTCTCCGAGGGTTGTGAGTTTGTCGAATTATCTTCTCTAGTTAGCAGTGGAAGTGGGATCATTGTATATTTTTACATCAGAGGTGGATTGGCTATTGATTGATGACTGACTTAAAGAGAATTGGGGTAAATAGGAAAGTGGAGTTGAGGCCATAATCAGATCAGCTAAGATCCTACAGAATGATGCAGCAGATGCAAGGGGTCAAATGTACTACACATGCTCCTAATTTGCATGTTTGTATGTTTGGGCTTTTTAAAAATATGGGATTTTGTTGCCCAACTGCAGCAAGATTTGTCAGTTTTCACTGCGATCATCAGAGTGCCACTCAATTCACATTCATGCAGGGTAAGACACTGTAATGTGCCAGGGAGGGATAGTGAAACACTTATTGAACTGGATTTTGCAGTTAGTGGTTAAGTTCTTGCCATTCACCTTGAACAAAGCTTCTCGAAATATTTAGGATCATCGAGTTTTTACAGCATGTAAACCAGCATTTCACCCCTGTGTGTCTGTGTGGTTCATCGTCTATTCAAGTCTCATTTTCCAGCACTTGGCCCATAGCCTTGAATGCTATGGCATTTCAATTGATCATCTAAATACTTCTTAAGTGCCTTGAAGGTTCCTACCTCTACCACCCTTTTAGGCAGTGAGTTCCAGGTACCAATCACCATTTGGGTGAAAGTTTTATCTTCCTCAAATCCCCTCTAGATCAATATTCTAAAACATGGTATTCCCCATTTCTGACAGTATTTTTAACGGGGAACTACCAGTTGGGGATCTGTGGCATCCAGAACCCATTAAACAAACCGAACATCAAATGTAATTAAAGTATTCTCATAGACAGCAAACCAGGAATGAAAACTACAGACTATAATTAACTTTTTCAAATTTACAAAAGAAGTAGACTCTGAATATGTTAAACTTGAAAATTAGGGAATAATTTATCTGATTTTAAGTGTCATTATATTTTAAAAAACTACATTTAGGAAATGACAATTTACATACCTATTTTCTCAAAGCCAAAGAGTGTGTACCACAGTGATTACGATCTGGTACCCCGCTAGAAACTGTTACAATCCTTTTAGTGGGTCTTGTTTCGCAATTTTTTCTTACGAGACTATTGCATTAAAATGGAAGTTCACGACAAATCACTGAGTCCAGGTCCTGTGCATCTGTGAGACCTGCACCAATGCTCCTTGTGCAGGAAAGGGTATCACTGCTGCCAACTTCTGGATTCCAGTGTTCAAACACACACAGAAAGATGCCAGAAGTCGCTATCAGTTTTACGCAGTAATGACGGCGAACAAGAATGACAGTTTCACCGTCATTACGACCGCAAACTCCGGGCCGACACATTATTTACAGACTGTCAGTAGTATCCAGTACTTTGCATGAAGGGAATAATCCCAGTTTGAACATATTAACCGAGTGTGAACCGAAAAAAAAGTCACCCAGCAATGATTGAAGGATAATTATCATTGAAATTGTAAGGTACATCTGTAATGCCACTTTGCGTAAGCTTCCTGATTTGGGCAGAATGTTACATTCATAAATTCTGAACCGTGTACATTCCACATCAATTGCAGGGTATTTTTTTACATCCTTCTGCAACAGCTGTTTCTGGCTACGCCGAATTTTCTCTACGCGGCTCCAAGCCCAACAATAGTATTTTTTTCGTTACATTTCTCCATCTTTACAAGAGACAGAGAGAAAAAAAACAACGCGTGCTGGATGCTGTTGGTATAATAAACGCTGTCCGTTTGCTGCTTCATTAAAGCCCTGTTTTATGCCCACCCCTTTCAATCTGCCCATGTTTGACATACCACTGGGAAGTCTGAACGATCATGAGTGGCTTACGACATTCTGTCAACACTCAGCACGTCTGCCCGCTCTCGCAGTGCAGTGCTCTGTTAAAGGGAGGCAAGCCATGCTCCGCGATCCGTCTTGCCCTTAACCTCACCTAAAACAAGCGGGGAAAGTGTAGCGGCGGCTGCGGCTCGGTGGCTGGTCAAAGGGACGCCATACCGTTCCTCCCAGCCGATGAAAGGTCGCGCTTGGTCATTTCAAATCATGGGACGGTGATTCCAGAGCACTGAGCTGAACGACTCATTGACAAAAGGGGAAGATGCCAAACTAACCGAGAGAGAGAGAGTTTGGAAAAAAGGTTTCCGAGAAACTGCAGCTGCAAGAAAAGACGGGAGAGGATTTTCCCCCACCCTTGTGTTTTATTCTAAACAGCAGCACGGTTATATTACTTAAAAAAACAGCCACGAAACTTGCCAGTGTGGACAAGGTAACTGAGCATCGAACTGGGGAGTCCTACACCTCTCTTACCGAGGAGCCACCGACCGAGGTACTAAGAGCCACAGCTAGTGGGAAATAAACTCAAGAAGCCGGGGCACTGGATTCACCCACACACTGGGTTATGTGTTGTGTTTTACAATCTGTAGCTCGTGTGAACACACACACACACATAACACACAAAAAAACGGGTGACTGAATGGAGCCCGTCACTGGGCGGAAAACGATGGGTAAGGTTATTTTCGTTTGAATCATTTCATTTAAAGCAAATCTTGTGTCTCCTTGCAACCTCTACAATGAAACGAATCAATTAATTGATGCTCAGATTTTCTATTTCTCTCTCTCTCCTCTCTTTCAAACTCCCTCAATCCTCCACTCTGGATGTCACTGGGGCAGGACATCCACCTGCCCGAGTCGGAAAGAAAAAAGAAACAGCCAGCTTCAAACAAAAAAAAACAAAATGATGTAAAACAAAAGTTTGGAGATTCGGAAGATTTGTCCGTATTAATTCAAACCAAAAGGAGCGAGGGAGACGGGAGGGTGGGGGGAAGAAAGGAAGCCGACTCCAAGCAGGGATTGGAGGTCTGAACTCTTGCTTCATGGATTTCCTCCTTGTGGCTCTTAGTCTCCAGTGGCTGCTGCAGAAGCCTTCAGTTTGGCTGGCGTGTGTACTCGGCTTGTTGTTGGAGATGTTCCCCGGCGCTGAGAGTGCGTGTGCCAGTCAGTGCCGCTGCGACGGGAAACTGCTGTACTGCGAATCGCAGAGCCTGGGCGAGATGCCGCGGAACCTGTCGGGGCTGCAGGGTCTGTCGCTGCGCTACAACAGCCTGTCGGAGCTGCGAGCCGACCAGTTCGCCGGCGTGCTGCAGCTCACCTGGCTCTACCTCGACCACAACCACATCTACTCGGTGGACGGCGCCGCGTTCCGCGGGCTGCGGCGCCTCAAGGAGCTGGTGCTCAGCTCCAACAAGATCACCCAGCTGCCCAACTCCACTTTCCGACCCATGCCCAACCTGCGCCATGTGCAGCTTTCCTACAACAACCTGCAGTCTCTGGAGCCGGACCTTTTCCACGGCCTGCGCAAACTGCAAACGCTGCACCTGCGCTCCAACGCACTCAAGTACATTCCGGTCCGAATATTCCAGGACTGCCGGAGCCTGGAGTTTCTGGACGTGGGATATAATCAGCTGCAGAGCCTTGCCCGGAACGCGTTCGCAGGCTTGTTGAAACTAACCGAACTCCACCTGGAGCACAATGATTTGGTAAAAGTAAACTTTGCTCATTTCCCACGGCTCCTCTCCCTGAGAACACTCTACATGCAGTGGAATAAAGTCAGTATTGTAGTCAATTCTTTGGAGTGGACTTGGAACCATCTAGAAAAATTAGACCTCTCTGGGAATGAGATTGAGTTTATTGAATCTTATGCCTTTGAAGTAGTGCCTAACCTCAAGATACTTCAATTGGATTCAAACCGCCTAACCACCATCGAACAAACAATTCTGGATTCCTGGAAATCCTTAACCAGCATCAGCCTTTCTGGAAACAGCTGGGAATGCAGTCGGAATATCTGTGCTTTGGCCACCTGGCTGAGCAGTTTTAAGGGTCATCATGAAGGCAGCCTGTTATGTGCCAGCCCTGTGCATACCCAGGGTGAGGAGGTTCTAGACGCTGTGCATGGCTTTCACATATGTGACGACTTGGTCACAAGCACACTGGCCATTTCTGACATGACCAGTGTGGCAGAAACAGACCAAGATATGACAGCAGTCAGAGATGCTTCCAGCATCTATGTCACACAGGATACAACTGGAATAAAACCCACTGATTTAATCACTGCCACTAGTGAGCTTTCTCATGATCACCAGGAAAATACCATTCAGGTTCACAAAGTAATCACTGGCACCATGGCATTGCTTTTCTCCTTTCTGATAGTGGTTTTGGTGCTGTATGTCTCATGGAAATGTTTTCCTGCTGGCCTCAGGCACTTGAGGCAGTGCTTTGTGACACAGCGCCGCAAACAGAAACAGCAACAAACTATGCATCAGATGGCTGCCATGTCCACACAGGAATACTATGTGGACTACAAACCCAATCATATTGAAGGGGCACTGGTGATCATTAATGATTATGGATCATGTTCGTGTCATCAACAACCAGCCAGAGAATGTGAAGTTTAATTTTCATTCTGCCTCACTGGAAATGCAACATTACAAGTGGACATATAGCAGCTAGAGACTGACACACCGAAAAGGACCACTTTACAATACTGAGTATGAATGAATTACACACAGTACTGATTCCAACAAACCTTGCACCGGGATCTTTCAACAGTCCAAATGATATTTAAGCTTCAATGCGTCTTTAAAACCTTTCAAATCATCCTCTGTTCGACTGTCATTTGAAATTTGTAAAAGGAAAAAAAAATGTAAATGTAACTCTTCTCACCAGTTTCTTATGATATTAAATCCACCTGTAAGATCTGGGAATAAGGGAGTTCAAGGCTCATCAAGGATGTAAGTTAATCAATTTTGTAAACTACTCTGATTTAAATAAATATTTTAAAAAATGTTATTTATATGTTATTTGCAGCAGGTTTCAGAGAAGCCGGATATCAAGATATGTTATATATATTTTGTGTTAGTGAGTGAAAAAATCCTTCAGTGTGTGCTTTATTTCTTTTCCTCTCAATTAATTGTAGCAACCAGCCCTCTTTGGGCATGCAATAGAAAACCTTGCATCTCCTGCAAAATAAGCACAGTATGGCAAAGCTTATTTTCCAGACTACAATTGGTTAATAATTAAAACTAAATACAAATGTGTATCCATTAGATTGAGCACACTCTCATCTCCTTTTTCTAGGCATCAAACACTGCAGTTTCTAACAAAAGTAAGGAAGACAATAGTGCATAGAAACATAAAAAAAAATTGCTGCAGTGTGTGTAAAATTTCTACAAAGAATTCTGTACCTCAAAATTCAAATGTCCACACCTCTCCTGAAAAAGAGAAGGAAAACAACAAATAAGCTGTTTAAGAGTAGTATGTGACAGGGAAAGGGAAGTGAATGGGTAAAATTTAAAACCACTTTTTTTTGACAAAAGGCCTAAGCTTTAGTGCATAGATCAGGAGCATTTGCTTATATAACTATTATTATATTCAGTATATTATTTATCCCTATTATACCTATGTCAAAGGTATTTTTTGTAAATAGATAATGTTGGATTGTTAGTTTTAACTATAAATACCAAAAATTTTTTGAACACAATTGAAATATTTCAAACTAGCATCACCTGGAAAATGTCCAGCAACAAACTGCTGACATTTCTTTTCTTTAATTTCCCTTTTCAAATCCAGTAATTTCTCATAACTTCATACTGATGAAAAAATTTCAAACCCTTTGTAAACCACCTGTTGGGCTGAAAAGGTTAAATCTGTGAAAGTTGTGCACATTCTATGTGCCTTTTCAGAGTCATAAAGCATGGAAACAGACCCTTTGGTCCGTGCCTTTTCAGAGTCATAAAGCATGGAAACAGACCCTTTGGTCC